CCCAAAGAGATTGACATGTCTTTTAGTGCAGGGACAAACTCCAGACAAAATGTTTCTAATGATTTCTGACACTGTTAAAGGTAGGAGCAGCAATAAAACAGACCTATATTTCCATTAATGACCTGTTGCCAAACACATACATTTCGAAATACCAGCTGGGCATTTAATAATTTCCCACCTCTACTAATTTTTGCTGTTATCAGTAACTTAATTTGACCAGTATCATTATTAAATGTTCTGCGTTCCAGGCTCATAATCCATGCAGCAATAGTTCTACCGATTGTCTATCTTCTGAGTGTGAGACGTAACCCCTGGGTAGTCTTCAGGGGGGTTTATCCTGCGTTATGGACTGCACTGCTCACTTCATCCAGGTAACAAGGTTTTTTAAGGGCTTGGTTCTCAATTTATGATCAAACTTTATTACTTCTTTATGTGATTAGTTCACCAAAAAAGGGTACTTTGTGTCTACAAGCTCTGCCACCCTGCCGCAGACTTTTCATTGCTGTGAGCAGAGAATCTCGATCAACCGCAGAATCACTTGCCTCATGTTGCCCATTGCAACCAATGTCAGCTTGAATGGAACAGTCCTTTATGAGGTGGTCGCAGCGGTCTTCATTGCCCAACTCAGCGACATCAATCTGGAGTTGAGACAATTATTCACCCTTGGGTAAGTCAGATTATTTTGTCACTCTGTCTGTTCTATAGAAAATTAGAGAAATAATGATAGAAAAATCTGAAAAAAATATCATTCAAATAATGTCTGTATTAATTAACCGTAGCTTAAAGTGCACAATATGGGACTCTAAAGCTGGATTGCACCAACAAGGTTGAATTTAATCTAAGATTTGTATATGGCCAATATGGCCATATATATATATGGCCAAATCATGGCTGACTGTTTTAACGGATCGACCAGAGTGAAAGAAAAAAGAGAAGTTGCTTAGCGTAAAGCTTGTTGGAAAAACATGAAGACAAAAGCCAAAGAAGATGTGGCGAGTGTGAGACAGGAGATGTTCATCACAGGAGGAGGGCCTCTGCTGACAATTCAGCAAACAGTCAATTTGTGTAGGCCGAACAGGTCTACTGGTTGGAAACAACCAGTAGTGTAGAAACTCACGCCACCAGGAGTTGGTGCATCGGTGGTACAGTTGGCCCAATCCTCCTGTTCAGCTCCAAAACAGTTTCCTTTGTGACCCGGTATCTTGACAAAAATTCATCTTCATCATAAAACTCAAGTGGGTTGAGTCTGTCTCTCAATTTTCTTTGAGGAACTCAATTTTGGTAAATCCATCTCAAAAACGCAGCCATTGTAAAAGTTAAACCTCCTGAAGTGGCGGTTTAAAGTTAACCCTTGATCACAGTTTAAATTGGAGTTCAAAGTTTTGGTGCAACAGAATTAAATTTAATCTTGGTTTAAAGTAAAAACTAAACTGAGGAAGAGGTTGAAATTGAATCTTACTTAATTTCAAACTAGTTTGGTGCAACAGAATTTCATTTTAAACTATGATTTAATCTGGTTTAAAAGTTAAACCTTGTTGGTTCAATCCAGCCTAGTGTCTTAAGAAACCCATCACAGTTCCTTCTGTGTGTTTGCTCTGCAGAGTGACATCAGCAATCTCCACCTTAAAAGCAGTGGGGATCCCAGCAACTGGAGTGGCGACCACTTTCTTTGTTTTGAGTGCAGTCGGTTTGCCTGCAATGGAAGCTGCCATTTTGGTGGTTGTAAATTGGCTGCTGTAAGTTAAACATGTAGTCTGAAATTCACAAAAATCACAAATCGTTTTGAGAGGGATCACTTAAGATACCTTTACTGATTCTATGAGTTGACAGGAGGAGTTGATATGTCAAATAAAACACATCATAAAGTAGCTAAACTTTCTACTTTTATAGTTATAGCTGTGATTTCTGTCTTTCAGAGACCGCTGCAACACTGTTGTCAATGTTTGGGGAAGCTGCATTGCCGTGGCAATCATTAACCAACTGTCCAGAGATGAAATGGAGAAGCAAGGTGCAAACAGGAGAAGGTGATATTCTTGAGATGGTCTCAGTGTTTTTGCAATTTCATTTGAACGTAGTACATTTGTAGAGAATGTCGATTTAATTTAGCATTTCTCAGACCACATAAGTTGGATAAACAAGAGACAGGTTTCAAGTAATCTTACAGCAAAAGTACACTCGACCCATTGAACATCAAAACATACAGTATGTAGATGTTATGGCAGCCCATGCAGACAGTCCAATATCTACTCTGGAGTTTTTACAGTTTTGTCTTTGGTTTTGTTGTGCTTTGCTAGAACGGCTAGCAGTGGTGCTGAGAGGCACGCCCAGGATGCAGAAATCCCTTCCAGCAGCCAGACCTTTGAGAGTATTGAATCCTTTCACTCTGTTTCAGAAGCTTACACTGACTGAGAAAAGGTTTTTCCTCTAATGAAAAATTGTATCATCCCTTTTTATTATTTGTGATTATTTGACTTACTTGGTTTCATATTTGTTTGGTTTTGTGTTTTATAGTAGTACAGTAGTTGAGCACAAAATCTTTGAAATGACAGTTTGACAAAGAAAATCTTTTATTTTATGATATATAGCCTAATGTAGATGTATACATAAATATGTATATATATAAATAGATGTAGTTTTTGAATTGTGTGTAATAGATGGAGTTATTGAATTTGATTGATTTGATTTGAATTGATGTAATGGATATAGTTATTAAAATCAAATGAATTAAATGGTGGTGATCAGAAAAAAAATTCCATCGAGAAAACTGTTTACAGTGTGAAAATTATATGTCAGTGAACAATAGTTATGCACAGATCAGTTGAACAGAATATACTCAACTCTGGGTATGGAATATAAAAAAAAACATGACGGAGAGATGTATAAATGTAGGAAACAATAATTCAGGTTAATTCATCAGTACAGCTTCACTTGGGATCATTTGAGGCGCTGTGTCAGTCCAGCCCTGTCTGCCTGAATGTTTGCTGTTTTCTGGGGACCATCCTTAGTCTGTGACTATCAATGTCTTCAGTGTCAAATTTGTTTTTTCCTAAATAATTTTTTGCCACCACTTGGTTTGCCACTTGACATTTTAATTTTCATCTCAATAACATTTTCCATCAATGTTAAACATATGTCTAATGTACTTATATCTGCTGAAATTGGAGTCCTGGTTAGATAGGGAAAAAAACAACAACCTGTCTTTGGGTGGAGAAGTTATTTTCTTAAGAAACAGGAAAAGGTTGGTAAGGAAAAAGGCTTACACTTTATCCATGAAACCAGTCCTTTATTCTAACACCAGTCTTTTAATTAATTTGTAATCATTTGAAAACAAATGTTAGTCTTAGTGGAGGCATTTAACTGCTTAAAATATGCACAACAGAAACTGAAAAAGAAATCAAGGCCTACAGCTGATATTTTCTGACTATAGACAGAAATCACACTAGAAAGGAATTTGTCCCAAGTCTACTATATTTATAAGAAGTGCTACTGCATAACTGGCAGTGAGTGCAATCACAATGGTTGAGGTTAATATATATTTGACCAGAAAACTACCAAAAACCACTAATGTCCTATAAACTTCAGAGAGAGGATGGGAATGTCTTTGCCCTTGTTATAAACTCAGAGTGAAATAATACAAGCAGCACAGAAAGAAGAAGGGTATATTAGTACTGGAAGTGATTGCACAGAGTTCAGTCAGTTAATCCTGCTCCACCCTCCACCTCCTTAAAAAAAATTGAAAATATTTGCGTTAAAGGATAGCAAGTGATTACAATTCATACAGGCCTAGTGAGGCTAAAAGCACTATTGTGCTCCAAGCACAATCTGCACAACCATCTACATGACAAGCTGTGAAACAATCTTGACAAATCCAAAATGTCACAGCAGACACCACTGTGGAGATACAGAAATACCTCACAGAACCCAATACTGGACAGCTTGAGGATCCATTGAAATATTGGGAAAGAGAGAAATTAATTTATCCACACCTTTAAAAGCTGCAGTGGGGTTTTTTTTGTATCCCAGCATCTTCTGTACCCAGTGAAAGATTGTTTTTGAAGACAGAGGAGATCATGTCAAAAAAACTAAATCATCTCGGTCCCAACACAGTTGAGAAATCTGTTGTTTCCTGATAAAAAATGAATAAAGTGCTTTTCCAAAAATAATTTTCCATTATACAGGCTCTTTGCCCACATTGCACATTGACTACGCAATTTTTACACTTCAGTTCAGTATTTGTTTGTATTGCACATTATGGCCAGTAGGTGTCGTACTGTAATCATGAAGCATCAAGAAATGAACTTCTCTCCAACTACTTTGCTGGAATGAGTCAGTGCTTCCTGAAGCATCATTTCATCATCACTAGGTTAAATTTAACATGGTGGGGAATGACAGACTGACCCCTGAGCTGCAGCAGAAGTCATATTCACCAGCAGATACTGCTCCAGGAAAAGAAAAAAAGAAAGCAGAGGATGGCGAGGAGTAAGAAAGAAAAAACAGTTGCAGAGAAAGGAGAGATTATGGAGGAAAAGAATAGACTAACAGGGAAAAGCGGAGAATCTGGTAGAGGAGGAGGAGAGTGAGTGAGGAGCAAAAGGAGAAAGAAATGAATTGGTTCCAAAGAAGAGCCTAATTTCAAATGTGAAAAATTTGGAACATTGAAGGACCAGGACAAATTTCTTCAGAATTTGCACTTAATGTTAAGTTAATGTTAGTAATAACTGTACTTTTCTTACCACGTTTAGTGAAAATATCTTGTTTTGAGAAATGTTCCAGGGGCCCTCTAGCAGCTTGGGTCAGTCATCCATCCATCCTGCACTGTCAGTAGGAGCAATTAAATATTTTATTAGTACCTGATACAACGAAACTACACAGTAATTACCCAGCAGGCTGAATCAGCTGCCTTCTAAAGAAGCTGTTTCTGAAGGGCAGTGCATCATTTACAGCTTGTGCGCACTGTGGAGACGCTGTGAGGTGAAACAGAAACGTATCATGACGTTTGACGAGTCACGAGCCAACACAGGAAGTCCCCACTAGCTGCTGCCAAGCCAAACAACTGCTATGAAGATACGTCTAACTTAGCGAATCGAAAGTGTCTCCGTGCCATATAGAAGTCCTTTGATGTTGATGCCCCAAGCCCCTTTGAAAAGACGAATGTTACCACGATGGAAAGAGCTGCCAACGTCGTTATATTGTCGGTAATTTTCATGGTATCACAGGTAAGTTGGTCAACGGTAATAACTGAAACTGGACAAGGGGTGAGTTAGTAATTAACGGGGACGATAGGTTGACTTACTGTCGAAAAACATGTCAGTTGGAACTACTGATAATTAATTGAATCATGCCCTTCGTGTGTGATCAATACATTGAGCAAATTTGTGAATCAGAAGGACCGTGTTGACTGAAATACAACAAGACAAATGGCTGCTTTCAGCGAGCTAATGCTAGCTCTAACGTTAGCCTCAGCTAGTGTGGTTCGAGCTGACATGAAATGAGCTTTTGAGCTACATTATTGTTACATGAAGGGGGGGATTTTGGCATAGATAAGTTTCCAAACGTGACATTTAATTATACCCCACTCGTGGACCTATAAAATCTCATGTGGCCAATTTATTCAGAACTTATAGCTGGAGACTTGGCGGAGGGTGATCTCCGCGAAATCCCCTATCATTTCACGGATAGGGAAGTATTTTCTTATGTATGTCATAAAAGAGGAACTGTGTTGATTTGTTGATCAAAGTACATTTGATGTTTGTCAATGCTTTGATATTGGCAGTTTACTTTGCAGTTCCCACTTATATGATATATGATAAAGGAAAACAAATGTCCACTGAGAGATGACTTTAAGTCAGTCTGATGTTTATTACACCAAAGGAGGCCTGGATTTGTTTATTTGCAAGTGAAATAACAGCAATTAAATTACTGTCATTCAATGTGATGCAGGTCCAAACTTTATATTTATATATTTATATATTTATATGGGATGCAGCATATGTCAGAGGTATGTCAGGCCAGATTAATCTGGTACTTTCTGTTCTGTGCTTTAACATGTTTACTTGTGAGACTTTAGAGAGTAACTCTTCCCAACTCTTCCCAACAGATAAACTGCCAAGAAGCGATTCTGCACATTTCAAATGGAAGTACAGAACGGGAGTACTGCATTGTCCACAATCACTCATGGACCCCCTTGTCACAAACCCTTGACACTGCAGTAAGTTTTTCAAACATTTTTTAAGGTACCATTCTGTTGTGAGTATCAGGACAGGAAAGTAACTCTACCTGTTATTGTTTAACATGAATAATCTCAAATACCAAAATATCTCCCATTACCATGTTACAGTCTGTATTCACAACCTGGTGGTTTATCACTCTGACTAATGTGGTAACCAGAAGTAATGGCGACAATCTTGGATAAAATGACTTTTTTGTGTGTTGTGTATGCTGTGACTTCTTTCTCAAAATTGGGGAAATGGAAATCAAATTTTCTTTACAGTGTTAAATCACTCATATTTTTCACTTTTCCAGACGCAGTATCCGCTGATGAATATGACTTCCACCGTGCTGTGTAACAGCACAGGGATCAGTCCAAATGTGGTAAAAGGCAAAGCATTGGTGGTGACTAGAGGGGACTGTGATTTCAGCCAGAAAGCTCTGGTTGCTCAGAGCCTTGGAGCTACAGCTTTGCTCATTGCCAGCAACACATCATTGGTAGGAGAATTACATCCGTCTGTATTTTGTTAATGGCTTAAGCACAAAGGGATATGACATTTCCCCTAAGGTTTTAATGTGTTTTAAATTGCTTACAAACCCCAGTGGAAGGCCCATTATCTTTTCTTTATTCATGTATTTTGTGTCTGAACCTGATCATATAACACTAGTGCCCTGATACCGCAGTGTAACATATAAAATAGACAGGAAGAAGTGGTTCAGAAATGGGGAAGTGATATACCATTGATTTTGGATGTGGGGGTTTCCATTTAAATATAGACATTTTCCATTTAAAACAGAAATGTCATATTTTACATATTTGTTTGACAATATTCCACGCATAACATGACAGAATTCTCATCAAAGGCTAGTTAAGAAGTTTTCTTCAGTCTAACCAGCTGTATTTATGGAAAAATCTTGTTTACCTCTCTGCTTTTCAGATTACTCCATCAGCCAATGACTCTGAGTACGCAAAGGTCCACATTCCTCTGGCTCTCATGAGGTACAGGGACTTCCTGGAAGCACAACAGGTCAGACAGACGGACTTTTTCTGGTGCTATTGTATTTGGTCTTACTACCACTCCCTTTGTTGAGGTACATTTGATGAATCTTTGTGTTTGTCCTCAGGTGTTTGGAGAACGGATGCTTGTGAAGCTGTATGCTCCACCTCATTCAAAGATTGATCCAAGCATTGCACTCATCTTACTGATTTCCATTGTCACGGTTGCATTGGGCGGCTACTGGAGTGGGGCATGTGAGAGGTGAGATATCACAGCTGCACTTACCAAGCTGTAAGCTTAACATTTTGACATATTAAGACTAGAGCAAATATAACAGAAAATCATTATTTTTCAAGTTGTTTAAACTTGTTTTTGTTAGTATGCAGTGACAATGTCATTTATTAACCAGATTAACAATACATTGTCAACCAGAAATACATACTTACCCAAAAGTCATATTTATTGCATCAGATGTATCAAATGCATGAAATTGCATGGTCCACCCTTTGTTTGTTAGTATAATGGATTATTCTTTTTTAAGAACCAGTATTTTCAAATTCAACTAACATGAAAAGCACACAAAACCAGTTTTCCTGCATAGGGAATTATGAGGCAGTCACCTCTGTCAAATTTCAAGCCTTCAGCTCTTGACAAACTCTGATGGGTTATTTTCTAAAAAGCATTTCACTCAGTGGATTTCTGTCATTTGTAACTGCAATTATGCCTATTCAGCGCACAGTGGACCATTAAAAGCACTGCCAGAACTGCAAAAATAAAAGAGAAAAGCTGCTACTTTATTCAAAGAATTTCCTCCAAAGAATGTCTGTTTATTTCCCACAGCAGGATTGTGCCTGTTCAAATAGGTGATTATTGTCTCTTCTGCATCCAAAAACGTCCAATTTCTTAAAAAGATTTCCTTAATTCATGTTACATCTCAATCAGAGATTTCTTTAGGGTGAGTTCGCGAGTAGAAGGACAGGTGAAATGGTGCAGACATCAACGTGTTATTACAGGCAGTTAAAAATTAATAGTTCATGTTACTGACAGGATGTGGTATATTTGTCAGGTATGAAATTAGTGCCCAACCATGGGAAGTGAAAGGGACCAGTGAAGGACAGTATCAGTGTCGGACAGACAGGCACAGGCACAGGTTCAGGCATTACAAGGAGTCAAGGTGAGGGCATTCTTCAGGTGACTAGTCATTAGGAGTACTTACCACAAAGCCAACATTTACATGATTTTAACGTCACTTTTTATTCATCTTCCCCAAAGACACCAGATGTTATTGGTCAAAGACAACAACGAAAGAAAACCCATATCAAAATATTTCAAAAATGTCTTTTGTTGTGTACATTGAGGAAGAGTTTGTCTTTCCTGCAGTAAAATAAACAGTGACAAAAGCATAAACAAATCAACACAAACACACAATAAACATAGAAAATGTTCTCATTCAGCAAAATATCAGCCGGAAAAATAGTCAACTGGTACAGATTAAAAAAATTCTTGAGAGATTAACAGTGAATTTGTAAATATTTTTTTGGAAATTCCTCAGGATTCAGTAGACCAACTAAAATACTGTATGTTGCTTGTAAACAGTGTTCGCTTAAGCCAGTTGAAGACACGATACACATACATGTGTGCACATGATCAGGATAACACTACCTCTACCTCATTTTGAGCCAAGCAAATCCCTGACAACTCATATGTTTTTCTGTTTCTGGCAGAGACCGGTTGAAAAGTGGTGTGGCTGGAGGAGGAGGGGGAGAAAGCAAAGCAGACAGTGGAGAGCTTTTCCTGTACTCTCCTCTCAAAGTGGTTATCTTTGTCGCCATGATGTGTGGGATGCTGGTCCTCATGTACTTCTTCTACAATGTCCTTGGTGAGTGGGATGAAAAACAGCTGCTGTATATTCAAAGAAGTAATCTTATCCAGTGTTTTGTTGATCTGATCAGTTTTATCTTTTTTTTCCCCAGTTTACGTCATTATTGCCATATTCTGCCTGGCATCTGCCTCTGCACTGTTCAGCTGCCTTGATGCAGTGATGGAAAAAATTGGCTGTGGCACTGTGAGGTATGAGCAACCCTCTTCCAACAAAGATTATATACACAGACACAAATACACACACATATTCCACTAGTGTTGGGCAAATAGATAATTGTGATATAACACCCACAGAAAATGTTGTCACTTAACAAAATGAATCACACAGAAATAACCGTTGAATAGATGTGTGTCTATGCCACTCAACATAGATGAACGTTTGAAAATGTTTCACTTCTTTGGGAAGATGTGAAACTGAGTTTCCTGTTGTCTTCTCATAGCTCACCATGTCTGTCTGTGAATCACACTCTGGCAGACAACCTTCAACTGCTGAAAGTCTTTGTTTATTTGAATGTGTGGATGTGTCTTTTTCTAGCTTCTCTGTCCGAAATTGGAACTTCTCAGTGAGGTCTCTCATACTGGCTGCTGTGTGCATTAGCATTGCTGTGGTCTGGGGAGTCTACAGAAATGAAGACAGGTACTGTCAGATCACATGAAACATACAACCATTGTTCTTCTGTCTGTTTAACTCTCACTCTCAGACATGCTTGTGCCATCGTCAGGGACTGTGTTGATGATAAAGGAGGGAATGATCTGCTGAACACGCACATCACAGTAGCAGTACTTTCGACATTGCAACACTGAATTCTGTCTTTAACTTCCTGCTTTGGTGTTTCTTTGTTAAAATATCACATCTTCATTACCGATTGAAAACTGTCCATGAAGGTGAATGATCTAAGTTTTATTTCCGTTACCATGGTATCAGGTATGCAGTGCATTTTTTCATTATGGTGGCACAGTGACACATGCTTTTGTTTGCAATAACAAAATAAATGTAGGAGCATTTCTGAATTGAAATATTGATGAAAACACATTACTTGTAAATCTTAATAATCCTTTAAAATGCAGAGTAAATAAGTGTTCTGTGAGACAAATCATGTATGAATAGCTTAAATGGTTACATCAGCATCACAATTACTTATGTTTACCATGATAATGATGTTGTGTCTCATTATTTTTAGTTTGATTAGTGTTCCTTTCATAGTAAAGAATATTTTCACACAATGTCCTTAACATGACGTGTGTTATTCTCATGATCTTTTGCAAACAGCATAGTCTGAGACCCTGAGTCTGAAAGTCAGACAATAAGAAGCCAAAGTCACTTGCTGATGATATTTGCAAATAAATCTATATATATATATATATATATCTAAAGATGGTGAATGCTAAAGACTGAATTATCATACTATGTAACTTGATGCACCTTCTTTCTGCACTATATCCATAAGTAGAACTAGACGTTTAAAGTTGAAACGCATTCTAAGGTTAAAACACAAGGTAAAACAGCTTTATGTGTCCTTTTTAGGTGGATCTGGATCTTGCAGGACCTCCTCGGCATTGCTTTCTGCCTCAACTTCATGAAGACCATTTCTCTGTCTAATTTCAAGGTACCTCTTCTTTCATCATTTGCTTGATCGTTCTTTTGTACATTGTTAGGCATAAAGAGCACTTTTACTGCCATTAAGTATATATTTTTACATATAATTATATATTTATTGTCCCCTGCCATTGATATGTCACACACTATCCCTTTGTCCCAGAAATAGCTGTCTTTGCATCAGCAAGACAGACCTCTGTACATTTACTGTAATTGGAAATACTGCAGTTCTGATTTTCAGTTTTTATCAGCTCTGGAATCAATGTGTGATTTAGTTTTTTCCATTATCTTGTAGATCTGCGTGATTCTGCTGAGCCTCCTGCTTGTGTATGACGTCTTTTTCGTTTTCATTACTCCTTTCTTCACCAAGGTACGAGTATATTTATTTTTGTTTTTCCCCATAGTATCAGGGCTGGATCTGTAGAGGTTTTCCACATATGAGATGATATTTTTTTCTGCCATTCCTCAGTATTTCCTGCTTTTATGTTCAACTCTTTGTTGCTCCAAAGTTAAAAGTATTTTGGCATCGATTTAACATGTTTCACCATTCTGATACACAAAAGTGTAATATGAATACTTAGGATCTCTTTCTCTGTCAACAGAATGGGGTTAGCATTATGGTGCAGGTTGCCCTGGGCCCAGATGCATCTGGGGAAAAGGTAAGTCCCCTTGCATTGCTTCCCTTTGCAGGGGAACTCCACCAAATTGTCTTTCAAGGCATTTGCCAAAATATTTGCTAAAATATCAGATTTCACTTTCATTCTTTACACTGCTTTCAGTTTTAAGATTTGGGATGGTTGAAAAAAAAAAACTTGGTGCACACCTTTTTTTTTAATATTAGTTTAATATCTAGAATTATGACAGCAAAAAATTAATCTTTTATTTGTTTTCTAAGTTTATTGCTCAAGGCAATGACAAATGAAGATTGTTTCATCACTTGGTGAATAAATGAATTGGTGAAGTACATTTGTGTTCAAGAAGAGCAGTGTGGAGTAGTAGTTTGATTTCCTGCACTTAGTCACAAGAACAACATGTGAAAAGTTAAGCCTGGTGGAATTCCCTGTCAAGTTTGTGCCAGCTTTATTAACATCTTGGCTGATCTGGTCTGCTTGTTGTTGATGCCCTGAGGGGACTGATTGACTAACTGTGCGCTGGGGTTGGGTGGGCTCTGTCTTAGACGCAAGGTAACATGGTGGAGGTCCCCGCTGAACCCCAGGCGTCCTCTGAGAAAGTAAGGCTTGACTTGTTACCCATCCACTCCTTTCTTTAACGCTACATGCTGTGGTGGGTGGGGAGGGCTCAGGGTTGTAGATGTTTTGGTTTCACATAGATTCTCCTGAGCAGAATTCTACTTTTATTAAGGTTCTACAGCTGATAAATATGTGATAAAGGAATGAAGAAAGTTTTATACACAAATATACAGAGACGAGTGACAAATTAAAGAAGAAAACAACATTAAGTGTCTTACTAAGGTGTTGGGCCACCATGTGCCGCTAGAACAGCTTCAATTCACATGACGTGGTCCAAAATCTACCATGGGTGTTCAATTGAGTTGAGATCTGGTGACTCGTACACTGTTGGTGGGCGTATTGTCATCCTGGAAGAGACCATTACCACCAGGATAGAAATGTTTTATCATGGGAAAAAGGTGATCACTCTGAACAACTTTGTATTGATATGCAGTGACCCTTCTCTAAGGGCTTCACACTACAAGTCAAATTAACCCTTTCACATACTGCAAGCACTAAAAGTGGCAGATCTGCCATGCATTGGAGCTTGCCGGCCATCGGGAGTGACTTGGGGATCTGTTTCTTACCCAAAGGACACTTTGTCACCTTAGCCACTGTTCCTGTTGAAACACCAGCCATTTGAGCAGTCTTTGTGACTGAGGCTCCTGCCATCCATGCCCCAACAATGAACCGTATTTTAGGGTCACACGATTTTTCATGTTGCACACCCTGTTCATGTGTATCTATATCTGTTAGTTACCTTATGAAAGCAAGACACTTAGTGGAGTGTCGTATGCTTTTCCGTAGCCCTTTCACAAAGATGAAATGTGAAACGAGAGAAAGAAACACACATGTACACTTTAATATGACTATCAGGTAGTTGGGGACAATAAGTAACCTGAGTTTGCATGTTGAACACAGCAGTTCTGCTCAAGCTGAATTATTTTATGAGCCGTGTTTTAATGTTCATCAACATCATTGTTAAAAGATTAGGCCTTCAGGGGGTTCCACTTTTTGTTTGTTAAGGGGAAACTTTTTGTATTCCTGTTCAATTTAAGTAAAACATTTTACATTTTCTTCCATCTTTTTTTCTTATTGTTTTTGTTTGTTTGTTTTTTTTGTTGAGTTTTTTGAAAATTAATGTTAAGTCATTTCAGTGTAGCTGAAGCAGTGTTTCTCTCAGGATGCTTCCTGCAGCAGAGTTTATGTTTGCAGGTTCTCAGTGTTCTCTGGGAAATTATAGTCTAGAAGCACACACCTGTGTGCTCACAATGAAATTATACACAGAAAGTTATTGTAATGTTTTATTTTCTCAGCTGCCAGTGGTGATGCGTGTCCCACGGTTCTCAGCTTGGGCTCAGAACCTGTGTGGGATGCAGTTCTCCATCCTGGGTTACGGAGATATCATTGTTCCAGGTGAGGTTAAAGTTTCACCATTAGATTTTGAAAAAAAAAATGTATATTTTGAATGCACACAACGGTGGCTGCTGGCTGCCAGTTTAACAACAGTATCAACACGTGTGTACAGTTCACAACATACAAAGCTCATATATCATATAAATCATGTCATATAAACTTACTCATCTGTTCCTAACTATTAAAGTGTTGAACATTTTAAGAATCGCTACATGCATACACAATACTGTAGCTGCACACTTTTCATTGCACAAACTGTGTTGATAATCTGTTGGTATCTCAGTTTAGGATGGAAGAGGGGCATCTGTGAACTGAGACAGGTTATGTAAAGGCAAACATTTGTAATGAGATGTATGACTCACCCTCTTCATTCGTCCTGGTCCAACAGGTCTCCTTGTGGCCTACTGCAGCAGGTTTGATGTTTGGATCAACAGTAGCAAGAAGATCTACTTTGTCAGCTGCTGCATAGGTACCTCACAGCTAAACCGTTATTGTCTTAACTCTTGTCATAACCTTGCAATACCACATGCAAACATCACATCTTGTTTAGAGTAATTTGACTTGCATCTTTGGAGAAAGGAATAAAAACAACAAAGTAAAACAAAATATACATTTTATCCAGGTGATGGTTTGTTGGTTTGCGTTCCTCCTAAGCACAGGTTTTATTTTTTATTTTTTGTGCTACACATACTCTTCAGGCTGAACTCCATACCTTTTTAAATTTGACTGAATCACATTAACAAATAGTTTCTAGTGTTGCTCATGCACTTAAATACCTCTGTTAAGGAGTTTCTCTGTAATAGCTGTTTTTAATTAAAGGCTGACATTCTTCTTGCTGACCACTAGGTGTTGCCGACCTTTTCTTTTTCACATATTAGGCCATTGACTGATACATTTTCACTGGATTCAAGTTCTGATTGTATCTGTATGTGTTGCAAGCTGTAAGTTTATCTCATTTCTTTCCTTCTGTGTTTTTGTTTGTCTTCCTCTCTTATTGACTGTAGCCTATCTACTGGGAATGATCCTAACATTTGTCGTGATGCTGCTGTCAGGGATGGGTCAGCCTGCTCTACTCTACCTGGTGCCCTTCACCCTAATAACCTCCGCTGTGGTGGCTGGGTGCCGGGGAGAGATGAGGCAGTTCTGGGCAGGAACCACTTATGAGGTGAGCGGACCATAGAGAGAATACAGAGTCATTTCATGTTATTTTTATGTCATAAGCTTTTCACCTTCAGCAAACGAAACCAAAGTCAACACAGCGCTTCCAAAGACAGAAGTACTCAGCAAGGCTTATTGCCAAGATGTATGCTCACTGCTAATCACTTGGAAGATATTGTAATATTTACTAATATGAACAAGGCTTATATGGCTTTAATACCAAGCTGCCTGTGCATAACATAATTTTGAAAAAAGCAACTTACATAAGCCCTGCGAGGTATGCTACATCCTTCTTTGTATCCACAAAGTCACTGCAGTCCTAATAACTAAACTTAACTTTCCGTATGTAGACTTTCTGCTGAGCAATGTTTTCTTGCAGTTGCAGCTACTTAGCTTGTGTCATTTCCAGTTTGCCAAGCAACTCTCTTGTCATGTATCTTATTGTACCAGACACCTGAGGCTCTGAGGCAAAAAAAAAAGTCCACATACATATAGAAGGGTTATTAAATATTTTGAATGATCACTCAGCTCTCTGCAGCTAGAGGTTAGAGGCACTGAGTAATCACTGCACTGTCCTTGCACTTCAGAGCTCACTGAGTCACCAACTGGTATTATAGTGACTGACTTAAAGTATAGTGACAAACACTATTCCAGTATATTGTGCTTTCTTTGAACAATTGGAACAATCGAAAAACATACATTGTATACAAGATATATTACAGGCTGCTACTTAGGTCAGTGTGTGAACAGGTTTTATCTCACAACATCCAAATTCTTAAGAACTTACATGGATGTGTGTGTTTGTGTGGTTGTGAGAGAGAGAGAGAGGCAGGAAAAAAGATACAATTCTGACCTGCCTTCATCTTCACCAGGTCTTGGACTCATCCAGGGAACCTTTGTTGCCAGGTGTGCTTCTCTCCAACCCAAACCTCTCCCCTGCATCTCTCATGCCATTTTACAGTGTTGCTTACTGCAGTGCTTTTATCCTTCTTTTACCAGCTTCTTATTTATCCCCTTTTTCTGTTCTTTTTACGTTTTAACTCCTGATTTCCAGGATCAGTGTGATTAAAATACAAAGAACTTGGAGGAAGTTTGGACAGTACAGCGTTTGGCATCAACTGACCACTGGGTGTCTCTTGTTGATTGAAAATAACCTTCAAATCTGTCTGAAGAGCTTGTCGGCCACACTCCAAAGTGGACTTGTGTTCGAGCTATTACCCTGGAATACCATTAACTTCATTTCTTTATTTCTGCAGTTTGTTTTACCATTCTCTTTCTCCGCTCATCTCTCATTTCCAATCAGCGGGAATTGATACCCTCACCACTCCATCCTTCATGCAGTTACCAACATGTTCATGTTTCCTTTTGCATGTTGTTGCTTGCAGTTAACCAGTGACAGCTGTGGCATGGATGTGCTATCTCTGTGGTTTGGTGTTTGTAGAATATACCGCTCATCTGCTGTTGTATATGTAATTCGCATTATAAGCTAAAATCTCCTCCAAGTGACCCCTGTCTCCTCCATCTTTCTTTCTCTGTCATTGGTATTCATTGAACTAACATACAATTGAAGAATTGTTAACTTTTTTATTTCTTTTTCTCTTTAGAGGGAAGAACTGACAGATCCGTAGGAGGAGAGAGATGCTGACTTACAGTGTAGAGCACGAACCCAACTGCTGGATACTTTTTTATATATTTTAATATCACATTTGCAAAGCAAGGGAACATATGTTATTGATCAACACATTTCTTGAAACATTTTGGGTTCATTTTGACTGCTGTGAACAGTTAGGAAGTTAATAAATATGTAAATGGAACAAAGATGTTTTAAATGAAGAGGCTTGTTGAGTGCCTGAAATGTCTGTTAGGTTCTTGTTTATAAAACTAATGACTTTGCCTTGGTGATGATTACATACAGCAAAATGAGAAAGCACTTTATAATATTTAGCTTGACAGTCCTTTCATCGTGGGTAGGGTGGGGATTGGGGTTTAAATTACTTGTAGTTACAATATGATAAATTTTGATAACTGTTTTGGGGTTTCTGTGTAATCTGTTTGTATGATGTGATTTCTTTCATTGCCTTATAATAAATAAACAACTTATATTTAATGCTCTTGCATGTGTATTTTTCTGTCCTTTTGAAGCTTCCCCATAAATACAGTGAACAAAATCTTGCAATTGATAAAACAGCACATTTCTTGGCATGTTGTAGCCATGTTCTCTATTTGAAAAAAATCCACTTTTTATAAATGTCATGTTGAATGTAAAATGGTAAAAGGCCTTCATCATCCTGAGAAGGACCAACCCAATATGAACACAACCAGCAATCGTACCGCACTGAGGTCATTGAGGTATTGGTTCCCATTAGCAGTTTTATAATGAATATATTGTACTTGATTTTTTAAATCTTGTACCACCATTTAAGCCCAGTTATATTTCAGTTAGATACTCTTTGGAAATTGTAATTATGTCATGATTTCTTTATCAATCTGAACATGACTGAACTTACTTTTACTTAGGAACAAGCATGAAGAAAGAGAATAAACTGGCAGCTATTAAATATAATTCATGCATAATTTGACTGATCATCTATAAAAGTGGAGAATCTTACTAAATTCTATATTGCAGCTTTATAGAACAGATTTGCTGATTTTATTATCCATTCAGCTGTTTTGGAATTAACTTAAAATGCTAATTGTGACTATGGCTTCTCATTATCTAATAAGTGATCAGGTTTGAGGTTATAAATGGTAACAGGTCAAATTGTTAACTAGACAATGCAATTTCTGGATAAATATTTCTGGATTGCTGCTTCTGCCCAAGCTGCAGCTAAACTGCGTTGCTGGCTGCTAAAAATTGAGCTGTAACTGTCTGTCCGTCAGTACGTATGTATGCCTACCTGTCCGTCTGTCTATCTGCTTGTGTGTGTGTCAGAAATGACAAACTGAAGTTACTGTCGAATGGTTCCTGATTGAAACTGTACTGAGACGTATGTCCCTAAGCCACATTGGATAAGTGAGACAGGACGAGGACAGCAGCAATGATTTCTTTTTTGCCGGCAGTTTGTGTTTATTAGGAGGTCAAACAAAGCGCACATGTGGCCGGTGGCTCCGCCTCAGTCATGTGACAGTGTGCTGGCTGAGTCAGCCGGCTCGTCATGCAGCGTCAGTCTGGAGTCGCACAATTATGAAAAAGCAACCTTCCGTTGGAGCTGCAGCTGAAGCGGATCTCTCCAACGTCCACCGGGCTTTCCTTCCAAGGCTAACCGAGAGCACCGCCGATAGATGGATAAAAGCCACGACACAGCTCTTCCTGAGTCTCAACGGTGAAGAGAATGGTATGTGATCCTCTCCCGGTAGTCAGCTGCCTTCCTCTTGGGTTTATAGTCCGGCCAAATTGGCGCTTAGGATCGTCGTGACTGATCGGGGGTTTTTGAGTGGCAGGTCCCCCCATGCATGCTGCCTCCTGTCTGTCAGGCACCCAGCCGAGATCCCGGTGGCGTTTGCTGTGTTTGCAGACTGTCTGACTCTTCAGCTAAAACGCTGCGACTCGGACGTAATAAGCGAAGTGTACATTGTGACACACTGTCTAGCAAGAAATCCCCCAAATCACACACGGGCGTAACGTTAGCTGGCTAAATAGCTAGCTTGCTAGCGCTAAATGCTAGGTACTTAACGTAAGCTAACTAGCTACGCCAGCTGCAGTAGCCGGCTGATGTTAGCGCTTTCTTCGCCATAATAAGAGAGAGCTTCTCCTCGCCGGACAGTCTACCAGATACTGAGCAGATAAAATAGTGCATTTCAGAGCATCTGGCACTTGTTTGAGACATGTTTCTGCCAGCTGTCTGGGATGTCGGACAAGACACGCTGTCATTGCCAGTAACAAGTCAATGCCACCTTGAGTGGCTGCCAAATCCGTCTGAACTGAACGCTTTGTATCCCGCCAGCGTCGGGGAAAGTTAACTGATGTTGAAATGGTGCGTTTATTATCTCAGACTTTGTTAAGCATCTGTACGCCCACTCACGACTGTTTGTTGTTAGGTGAGAGTCAGGCCTGCAGCAGACATTGCTGAAGAATTGTCAAAACGTTAGTGTTTGTAATATAACATGTAATTTTCCCTTTCCTCTTCCTGAGGAGCACGGCCTCCTCTTTTTTCCAAGAATTTCCTGTCTATATCTTCCTCCACAAGCAGACCAAGAAGCTTAGGGTGAATGCTAGGGGAAGATGACATGTTGCCAAACTGTGAGTCAGATTTGACCACACAGTGTTGTTGGTACACAGTGTGTTGGAGCTGGGTAATAATGACAATATCAACTAATATACCCAGTACTTGGATATTAATAATGTCACGATACTTTAGATTAGGAGTGTGCAACATGGTTAAAATCTCTATTGTGGTGTATGTAAATGAATATCATAATAATAACCACATGGTAATGTCTGGTTTTGGTGATTCCAGTGAATTAAACGCCAGACAAATCAGGTCTCCTCATCACACTGATTTAAAAAAGTCACGTAACTGCCACAGACCAGTCCTGTTCATTCATTTGTAACATTGCCCACAAAGGCCTCATGCACTTTGAGATATTAAAGGGAGAGATGCCACAGCATAAACAGAGTGGCAAATTTCTGATAGTAGACAAATTTATATTATGTCACCCACGCACTTTTATGCAACTAATGAAAAGACAGGCATATAATGTTTAAAAGCAAAAACAAGTAATTGATCTGGATACAATAACATCAGGCATTTGTCGTTCACTTCATAAAAAGAGCAGTATTATTCTGGAGATGTTATATGTGTTGTAGCCTGTAAAATGAGGAAAATATAATTACCCCGATCTCAGATGACATCTAATCTCCCATTTTGGTATTGATTTATTGATATATCCTCCATTCTATTTGCTGTTATTCAATGGGAATCTAGAGCAGCCAGAGTCTGCCTTTTGCCTCAGTGCAGAACTGTCTTATTTCCCACAGTGCTGGGCTGAGCTGGTCACATGCCCCAGCTTACCCCTGGACAAGGAACACTGTTAATGTCAGACTCCTCTGCATAATTTGAATTTAAGCTGGCTCATCAGAGTAGTCGGCATGATTTGATCTGTATCACCAGTCGGTAACAGAGCTTTATTATTGCAAGTCACAGTCTCTTATGTAATGGTGAATGGTTGAACTAGTCATTTGCTTGGGCTTCAGTGCTATGTGAGCTGGGAGAAAATGGTCTTGCATCACTTTGTTGTGCTCCAGAATAGACTCTATTGCTACTAGAGTGTGTGTGTGTGTTTTTTTTTTTTTTTTTTTTTTTTTTTTTTGTGTACTTAGAGTGTGTGTAACTGCTTGCGTGTTACGGCCGGTGGCAGAGTGACTGTGGCATGCCCCTTTGAGCCCTGTTATCTCATGCTCTAATCCATTTGTACCAAATGCACAAGCCCATTTGAAGATGACTGATAAAGTTTTCCAATGGCCCTGGACTGGGTTTTCCAAAAAAAATTGGTCACAGTCTGTTTCTATTTTTTTATTTACTTATTTTTTTTATTTTTTTATGAATGAATGGAGCTGCCCCTCACTCTGCAGAGCTGTAGCTCCTGGTCATTGTCCCTGCCGCTGTGTCCTAACCTTAGACTGCTTTAACCTAGGTTTTCATAGGCTCACATAACCATGAGTGCCAGATGTTGAGAGGAAAAGTCATCACATGCTGTACATTACTAGGTTATATTGTTGCTTGGAGGTAGGACTCAGGGTGGCATGCCAGCATGGTATGAGCCCATGCTGTGCAGTCTTTCAGAGCTAGTCCTGGGGGGCATAAGTGTGAGAGCTGGAGAGCTGTCACACTTTGGTCTCATGACTGTATGAACTGACTGTATGAATCTTATCTAAAGGCTATAATGAGCTCTTTCCCTTCATTTAACGTTTTTTATAGGCTCAGATCTTGGTACAACTAAGATTGGGCAAGGATTGCAAAGTGTGTGATATATTCTACTCTATTTTGACCCTACTTTGACCCAATCAAAAAGATGTTGATATTATTATTATTATTATTATTATTATTATTATTATTATTATTGTTATTATTATTTAGTGTACTAAAGAATTTAACAGAGACATTCTACATGTTGCTCTGTCCAGAGCTGTAAACTTAAGACTTGGATAGGAGTTGAGATCTGATCTTGACCTCTCTGCTGTATTGTAAAGATTTCACAATAATCTTGTGGATTATTATTTAGTCAGTTTGATTACATTTATGATTGTCCTGACATTGTGTAGTGGTAAATCATACCTATTAGCCAACCTTTGCCCGCCTCAGAAATGAAGGCACATGGGACGACATCAAACGTTTTGTTCTGAGCTCACCTTGTCCTGAGCGTGTGAGTAAACAGTGTCAAGTGTGCAACATTAGGAACAGTCTTTCATTCTTTTTGTCGGATGAATTTGCAGCTCAGCCTTTTTATTTTGTACAGCATCCAGTAAAACAAATTAAACCAGCTTGGAGTGTTGAGATCCCCCAAAAGACCAGAGCAGCTCTAATACCAGCACACCTTGAAACCAACATATATTCACATTTGAGAAACTGGCACCAGAGGAATTGTGACAGTTTTGCCTGAAAAAATTTCTGACTAATTGAATAATCAAGTAGTCTTTTCAGCTCTCATTGAATGCAGTTCCAAAATGTATGATGGCTGTGTCTATATCCAGATATTTTAGTCTTTCTGGGGGTCCAACTGCACTTGTGTGGTAGAACTGCAGTTCCCCTGTGATGTGACTTAATCCAAAGAGAAACAGCAGTGAGGAATTAAGGTTATGGCATGGAAAAATCTCATGGCAGGAGCCTCGGCTCACTGTACCGTGGAGGATGCCCCAGTTCTGTGTCTGTCGCTGTGAATATCGCTGTATACCAGTGGTTCAGTTGTAATTATGGTAAAACATATTATAGTAATAATTAAATATTTAAAAAGTGGCAGTTGCACAGATTTGCTTTCATTTATTTCTAATCCAAATGC